ATAACTAAACATAATCAAAAATTAAAAGGGTGCCCGATTTTTCGGATAATTAACCTTGTATCAATGAGTAAACACTTTCACAGAAAGATTGAGCAAGGGTAGAAAATCTGGACTAGCCAGTGATGGATGCATGTTTACTGAAAAGAATTGTACTATATCTCCTTTCACTAGGGAAAAAACTTACAAGTGAAAGGGCATTCAGATTACTCGTTTCTCAAGCTTTCAAATCATATATAAACTTCGAAAAAAAATCTTCTTGGTCTGAAAAAATAATTACCTAGAATTGGCTGATATTTTAGCTGGGGAAAGTTGCTCGTATCTCGCTTCACAGAGAAGCTAGGAAAAAAGAACGGTCTATGTCGATTCCTCGTGTTCTTAGCTATCGAACGGTATGCAAGGTTTTGGTGCATAAAGCTTACCTAATCCAGAAAAGTCTTGCTCCGGCTACCCATAGAAAGCCGGAGCAGGGTGATGCAAGTTAGTATTGAATATCTCCACCTCAATTTTGAAAAACCACGAGTTTTTTCATCCAACAACCTACATACCATTAGAAAGCTCATGAAACAAAGATTCGACGTAGACCGTCTCTTTTTTCTTCTAACTCCCCAGAGAAAGAGATACATGGCATTTTAGCTAAAAACATGTGTGTTTTTGTCAAGAAATTCCTGCGTGAAGAATGAATGAAGGTGCCTAATTTTCTTACAGTAGCAAGAGCAAGACCTTGCCCATAAACGTAGACCGTCTCTTTTTTTTTCTAGCTCTCCTCTTTCTCTCAGAAATAGAGCGCAAAGTGATTGCATAAAATCAGTTGATGCTGAAGCTAGATATGATTTCTTATATGTGTTTTCACAGGAGAGCTGAAAGAAAAAGAGACGGTCTACGTCGATTCTACATGTCTCAAGTAGTAATTTCAAATGGTATGTCAACTGATGAAACACAAAGCTTTCGCCAGTCAAAAAAGTCTCTGTTAAATGACCTTCGAAGGCCTAAGCATTGAGAAAATCTTTATTTTACACCTCTATACCGCTTATTTTCCTTCTTTTTACTACCGCTACCGTTAGGCATGCAAGCTTGCGTCAGCATTCATCTTAAGACTCAATTACCACCTTCACTTTTCTAGGTCGGAAATACCCAAAACCCCCTTCACCTGGAGAGGACTCTGCTCCCCCTATCGCACCTATGCTGACAACCGCAGGAACACAGTATGCTTATCTCCAGCTATCGCTCATCTTGGCATACACTCAGCTAGAACAATTGCTCGAGGAGGAGGAAAGTCGATGACAGCCAACCTCTGGCAGTGACCTCCGGCCGCCGGCTGCCTTCCCCTTTGCCCCTTCCCCTTCTGAAGTTAGTCTGTAGATTGAATATTATAGTAGGAGTATTGTACTCCCGCTACACGTAAGGTAAGACGAGGCGAGTCTTATACCTGAGGCAAGCGCCAGACTTACCCGGTTCAGTCGCTTCGTCCCGGTTCACCGTTCGCTAAAAATTCAGTAATTTGAATAACAGCGAAGGAGCGAAATTCCGAAAGGAATCGGCACTGGCTGCTAACCCACCCACCGTCAGCGATAAGTTCGACCGCTTCTGACTTTTTCTAGCGTTGCCCAAAAAAGACTGCAGTTTTTTTTCAATGAGAAAAGAAACTCTCCATACGATCTGTTTTAGAAGCAACCCTGCCGCTTCAGGGGATTTATTGTGAAATGCGACCTTGTACATCAAAGAATCCAGTGGACTTGCGTCTTTTGGGTAGGATCGATATTTACAAAAAGTTCCGCTGGGTTCGCTAACCCACTATTACCTTCGTGATATCGGTCATCACAAGAGTTGAGCCCACCGATTTGTTGGTGAATACTGCCCCTAGTTCCCGACGAAGGGGATAGGTTTATTTCGCGAAGTATCATCGGCTCCACGATTTGTAAGCAGAGTCGTGGAAGCTCAGGGCCAGCAGTCTTGATAGCGAGAACACGAAAAGCAATGCTATAAGGTGGAGGTTTAACAAGTTCATCCTCACAATCAGAGAAAGTCCGCACCCTCCTCTATACGAATTTTGGAGCCGATCATAGGTGCGAATGGCGCAATAGCGTCTTTCCGTTCGCATATCCACCCACACCCGCTTACATTGACAGCCGCCTCCGTCTGGAACTAGCCGTTACATCGTTGTGCACCCTGCGCCTAAGGGAACGGCCATAAGTGGCCGGCAACCGAGGTTGCTGTGGTTGCCGAGGTTGCTGGGGTTGCCGAGGTTGCCGGTCGTTAGGCATTCGCCATGCTTGATCCTCTTGATCCGCTTAATCCACTTGGTCCGCTTGATCCGCTTGATCCGCTTAATCCGCTTCGTGTAAAACGTGCGCACTCGGCAGTCTGTCATTTGGCGTCACGTACAGCGAATTTGCTTGACCATACTTTCGTAGCTAAAAAATCAAAGATTTAAAACATTGTCAGCCCTACGACAGCTCAGAAGGCGTTTTCGGGTAGAGGAACGAACACCTCAATTAGGCACCGCCTCCGCGGACTACTGTTTCCAACGCGATGCACCACATAAGACGAAAGGACCAGCAACCTGCGGAGGCGGTGTCTAGTTGAGGTGTTCGACCCTCTACTCGCCTTTTTCTGCTGAACATGTGCAATTCTTGCTATCATTGTCTAGACAGGAGGCTGAAGGAGTGCCTTGTCAGTTCTTCTACGTACTTCATCTTAAACTGTATGTTTTATTATTGGTTGGAGGTGTGGATGCTAAGACAATTCTATAATAATTTCTCATCTGTTTAGGCTTCTACAGTTTGCAGGTGTTGTTCATAAATCTAAATGTGTTCCCGTTTTCATGTGGCAGTCGACGAAGATATATGTGTCGTTTATCGAACGAGGAATAAAAACTGCGTTCGAACGGCGCTCAGCAGCATTTCCGCACGTAGTTATCTTTTGCACTTTCATTCGATACCATAGTCAAGTGCCCTCTCTTCATATTTGACTTCTTATGATCTTCCAAATCTATTCCAGTTTGTTAATTACATTCCCATTCTCGCCTGCTATAACTCCTTATCTTCCATCGGGCCCTTGAGTGAGTCATGGTACAATAGTACTTTTGGTACAAACAGTTTTCTAACTAGTGCTTATCTCGAGGGAAAATGTTTTCTGCCGTTTGGAATTCAGAAGCAGATTTTTTAAGCCTCTAAGAACTAGAGACGGTGACGAGGCATGTTTGAATTATTCTAAAAATTGTGGCGACGAATCCGACCACGGTCTTTGCGCCCACTTTGAGAATAAAGGCTCATGCAACAAAAATTCACCTCAACGCTCATTCAGCTCTCACTTCACCCAAATACTATTATAAGTAAGCAAAGAAAACATTCGAGTAGAGATAAAAACCAAGAAAATGCGGTTGTCGGAAGTGCGTGCGTGTCGTGCGCGGTCGCGCCACTGTCACGATTTTTCGAATGCGCTATATACTCGCAATGTCAGTAATCAACTCATCAGTGCATTACCTCGATTTCACCATAAAGAGTCAAAGCACGCGGTCGTTCAAAAATTTGACGAGACATCAAGGCCGTAAAAACACTACTGCATTGTAATTATGAGTGAATAATGATATTCTTTAGCTAGCCTACTTATGGAAATCAAAAAGTTTGCCATTTTGTTGCGACGGACTTACACTTGCATAAGAATTTCTGCGAATTCTAGAATATTTTCTACTGTTTTCGTGCTGTAGAAGCTCTAATGCGTTTGACTCATCGATCAATATTTTCTTTTGAAGATTTACGACACGGCCGCTTCTTTCTATCGCCAAACTATTCCTCGTCATAAAAGAATACGAACATGTGTATAGGATCAATATAAACTCCGCACAATATTTCAGTGTAACATTGATCTTCTCAATAAACGGTGTGTTGACAGAAAAAGAGGAGAAACTCTTAGCATTATTTTTTCAATTACTCAAGCTTGTGAATTGGGAGCGCATACGTTCTTATATTAACACTTCGCAGTTACTTCATCACTCCTACAAGATGAATGAGATGACCTATAATTCTCATTTTATGAAATGAAAAAATGCAATTTTAATTTATTAGCAGAGCTGAACTTTAGTTTTTCGTAGTATGTCAGGACAATAAAAGCTTTTGATGCTTTTCTTCTTCTTTGTATAAGCATTAAATCTGTGATAAGGAAGAGTATACGCCACCAATACCGCATACTTCCATTAAAAGCCATTCTTTCATGTTCAAACGTTTCCCAGTCGTAGTCCTCATTATTCCACCTTTCACTGCTAGAAGCACCATAATCATGACCTTGTTTTTGTGCTAAACTCCACGAACAATTTGTGTGAGTACAGAAAGAAGTGCTTTCGATAACTTTCGTCTTTGTAAAAAATTTGAGAAAAGAGTAACTCCCAAGAAATATTTTTCTGAGACAGGGTAAATGTGTTTCATGAACCTTTTGACCTGCTTTACCTTGTTTGGACCGTTTTTGTGCTAGTCGCTGCCTTATAACATGTTCGAGCTTGTAAGATAAGTTAATGCTTTATAACGTTCAATCATACATTTTTTAGTTCGTCTTTAAAGGCAGTGTCTCACCAAAATTTAGTTGCCGAAATTTTTGCATTTTGCAAGCCTGTCGGACCCTGTCTAGCACTGTATGGGCTTAGAATCGCACGAAGTTCCCAAAAACCCCGTTTTTTGGAGGGCCCGAGGAAGCAACGTGGACGAGTTGTACCTTCCAAATTCGGGCTCAGCCACAGTGGCAGCAACAGAGGGGAGGTGGATGCCAAGTGGAGGGACACGTTCAAACGCGTAAAGGGGGAGACCGAAGGAGTCGTCCGCGCGTACCAACTGGCTCTCCGCGTACCACTTTGAGCGAATTTTTCTCAGCGTAGAGGGGGTCAAATTGAGTGGGACTTGTTGCAGTGGCCTATTTAAAGGTCCCTATAATAGAATATGTAAAGATCCCAGCGACCTCAACTTTGGTGAGACACTGCCTTTAAAACGTGAAGCGCAGGATCTTTCACCACGATGGTTAGGGAAGACAGAACGACCTGGAAGGCCAACTATTTCCTGAAGCTGATTGAACTCTACGAGTATCCCAATTGCTTCCTTGTCGGAGTTGAATATGTTGGATCGAAGCAAATGCAGGAGATTCGTCAGGCTTTGCGAGGTGAACTTTTTCTTTCCAAAACTGAAAATCTTCCCAGGCACCGGGTAGAGCTGCTTGTGCCAGCACCGAGCTAGCGCCGAGCAGGCGCAGCCGATCGATGAATACGGGGCGCGTCTTCATACGCTGGCACGGTACTGGCACGGCGCCAGAACGCTGGTAGCTCTTGTCGCGTACTGATACTGGTCAAAGATTTCAGGACATGCCGTGATCCTGATGGGGAGAACACCTTGCTCCGAAAAGACATCCGTGGACATTTGGGAAAGAACCCGGCGATAGAGAAACTACTGCCTTACATCGTCCGCAATGTTGGCTTTGTCTTCACTAAAGAAGATCTGGGAGAAATTCGTTCCAAATTGGTGGAGAATAGAAAGGTATGTTAAAATTACATCACTTTTCAATATGGGCACTATTCTGCTTTACACAAACCTCAAAATGCAGAATTCGCTGAGCACTTAATTCTTCGAAGGGCTGATGATCTATGGTTATCTTCCGGTCTGTTTAGCGGATTACGGTAGGTATATGGTATAGGTTTGAAATCTCAGATTCACCGGGAGATTTTGTATAGACGAATTATCTGGCATGTTAACCATCAGTATCATATCCACTTGTTGAAGTAATCCCCACTCTGAGACTTGGGTTGAACCCCATACCATAAATCTACGGGTGGTGAGCAAGAGGAACGATAGCTTGTGGGTGTCAATAACTCGCGCATCTTTTAACGTTATTTTTGTTCACCAGCACGCAGGAATCTAGAGCATTTCTAATACACTTTCATATGAACAGGAAAATAAGATAGATTCTGTTTGCTCAAAAATGAGATGTGAAAATAAAATTTAAATACCAAAAAAGGATTTCAAAGGTGAAACTTCAAGTATTTCAAGTTTTTCTCGCAATATCAGTACCAAACTGCTCTTATCACAGGGCTCTGAGCAGAACTCATTAAGTAAAGAATTTACTACAATTTTACTCAAGTTTATAAGTCTGAAATCTTCGCATTTTGAGGCTACCGTAATCGTATCGTAACGCACCTCGTAGGAAATGGATACGGTCCGTGGTCAGCACGTTAACCATCCCCTATGATGGCAACAGATTCTTGAAATTTTTGCACTATGTACACCTACACTAGAAAAACTACTGCCGAAAAGCCTCACCATGTTAATAAATACCTTGTGATGAGCACGTCAACACTTGCGTACAAAATTCAAGCAAAATGTGGAATTTTTTATCTTTCGCGTAAAGTGGAATTTCAGATGTGTAGAACATTGTGCAATGAGTTGTCATTTATTTTTAAATTTATATTTTAAATTATTATTTAAATTATTAAATTATCATATCGATTGCAAAATTCTAATTTTTCTTTTAGGGTGCTCGGCCAAAGCTGGTGCAATTGCACCATGCGATGTGAAGCTGCCGCCTCAAATTACTGGTATGGGCCCCGAGAAGACCTCTTTCTTCCGCTCTCCAGATCCACACCAAAATCACCAGAGGGACCATTGAAATCTTGAGCGAAGTCCACCTCATCAAGCAGGGAGAGAAAGTTGGAGCCTCCGAAGCCTCCCTGCTCAACATGCTTTTCGTGACACCCTTTTCGTACGGTCTTGTCGTAGTGCAGGTGTACGATAATGGTACCATCTATTCGCCCGAAGTGCTAGATGTGACCCCTGAGGAGCTGCGCAAGCGCTTCATGGAAGGAGTTCGCAACGTTGCCGCCATTTCACTTGCCATCAAGTACCCGACAGTGGTATCTGCTGCTAATTGGCTGGCCAGAGGACTGCAGAACATGTTCGCCATCGCTGCTGCCACCGATGTCAGCTTCAAGGAGGCGGATCAGCTCAAGGAAATGCTGGCAGACCGAGCAAGTTCGCCACCGCCGGTGCAGCGGCACCTGCCGCCGGCGAATTCGCTCTTGCTGCACCTGCTGCGGCTGCAGAAAAGAAGAATGAGGAACCGGAGGAGGAGTCCGAGGAAGAAGATTTTGGCTTTGGCCTGTTTGACTAATCATTTTACAAACATTATCAACTTGCCGCTTTTGGTCACATCCAGTAATTCAAAAATTTATTCCGCCCGTGTAGCCTTTGTACTAAGCGAAATAATTCTATTTGATGCCAGTATACATTCAAGTTGGTCACTTTAAGGCATCGGCACCGTTGTAGTCCTTAATTGATCTAGAACGCTAAATCATGACATGTTCTTGCAATATTATAGCTATGCTCCTGCCTGAAGTCCTCCTCCTAATCGTTTGCGTTGTTTTGTTGAAAAGTAATAAAGCTAGCAATTGTGAAGTATAATTGTTTTTGCAAAGCTCTGGCGTTTTGGCAGATATGAATGCTCTAAAAGAAAAAAGGATTACGACTGATGATTGCGCAGCCGAACACGCTCGGTTGCTATCATCTAATGCTCTTTTAGGCAGTCGTCAATTTTCGGCTCAAAATTGCTGCAACAGGTTTTCTTACTGATTTTTGTTCTAATTCGAAAACCATGCAACGCCATCAAAGTTGAGCCATCATATAGCGAAATTTTTGAGCGATAGCGCAAAGCAATACCTTCTCTTCTTCGAAAAAATTTTCTAAGCCCCTTGGCCAAAAAAATTCTCTGCTCTATGATAGTACATGATTCAAAATTCGCTAGCACGCAAACTTTTTCACGTTTGTCACATAGATTTGTTCAGAGTAATCCAATCTGGTGGAGTTAAAATACCGCCTGAATTTTTTTGAAAAGACGACGCGCAGACGCCCGATTTACATGACATCACCGTAGCGTGGCCATATCTTGCTTCAAAGTGGACAAATACTCAATCCAAGCACATTCTACTCAACTCGGCGCGGCGCATCTTTTGATGTGTAGCATTGCACGCTTGGGCAAAGTAGGAGGCCAGATTAAGTCGTTTCAGATTTTTGTTCACGGTAAATTGCCCAGCTAGTGCAATGAATAAGCAAATAAGCACGCTGAATAACCCACCGTAAACAAAAATCTGAAACGATTTGTGTATCTGGCCTCTTACTGTGTCTGAGCATGCACTTCCATATATCAGAAGATGCGTCACGCTGAGCTGAGTCGAACGGTGCCTTCGGATTGATAATTCGTTCACTCTAAAGCGAGATGTGAGCCACACAGAAAGTTCGTTAGATTCGAAAAACTTCAGCATAGACTTGTTCAATTGCAGTCGTTGCATTGACTGCATTGACAGTATAATTGCAAAAAATAGCTTGTCTGCAGAAATATTGTTGTTGGGGCCTAGTTTTTGTTCTACAATCACATATCGCAAATAGGCAAAAAGTTGGACTCGCTACCTTCTAAAAAATTTTGAAAAGCTTTTTCCATTGATTCATGATTTTGGTTTCGATCTCCACCTTAGCCCTTCACGCACTGCTTATGCGGCGCTCTTTTGTTTCAGCCATTTTCAAGCACTATAGAACATCATCAACTCCTTAAATTGCAATTGAAAAAGCTTTTCAAGACTTTCGATAAAGTTCAATGGATTTTTGTTCCTGTTTCATAAAAACCAGGTAATTTTGATGTTAAGAACTCGCTTTGGTAAAGTCATTCAAGAGTTTTGAAATTTTTCTTAAATTGTTTGTAAATTAAACTAAACCTTCTCTCTTTAGGTTGAGTTCCGGAGAGATTATTGATCTCAAAACTCCGTCTAAAGAAAGGGATGAAACGTAGTATGACATGTAAAATTGTTTTTTCTTCATATCTGCATTCAACACGGAATGAGTCAAAATTGAAGTCCGTTAGGCAAAATTTTGTTTTCAAGTGACAGTGTACGTTTCTCCAAATGAAAACTGAGTACATCTAAAAACGCTTGTTAGCTGTTTTGCAGAAAAAATCTTATGTACATGTGATAGCAGAGTGCTTTTATTTATTCATCGCTTCAAACAAAGACGAGATATGTTGGCAGTCAACATAAAAAGTAGTTCCCAGCAGCTGGAAATTATCGACAGTTTTCTCAGTGCCCTTGCACCGACACGCGCCACCACGAGTACTGCGTCAATAAAGTCGTGCACATTTTGGAAGGAGCCATGCCGCTGCCGTGCAGAATTATGGGAGGTTGAAGCCAATTCTTTTCTTTGGGGCTTGGCGAAATGCCAAGGGAACTGTGAGTAAGTGGAAGAAGACAAATTCGTCGCTGGAAGTTTCTGACAAAACTCGGGAAGTTGGCAGTTTTGCGCGAAGTTTTGCTCTTGAAAGCAGCGCATGTTCTTTTCTATAGATTTTTCGCCTATGAAGAAATGGTAAGGAGGTGGAGATGAAGATGGTGTCCGTCCTAAAGGTCGACTGTTCGTGGTCCACTTCTTTTCTTGGCTTCGTCCACGGAATATAAGTGAGGAACATGCTACTTCGGACTCTGAGTCAGAACTGAATTCTCTTTCCTCGTCAGGTGTGAATAGCTTGACGTATCCTGGTTGCTGCGCAGCTTCGATTAAATCATCGGCATTTCTAATTCCTGTATGGTAGCCTTCTCTACCACAGAAATAGACCTCGTTCGTAGAGAAGTTGAGACTTCGAATCCATTTTTTGTACGCTTTGAACAGGTCATTTTTATTTCTGTAAGAAACGTTCAGTTTGTCAGGTACGTTGAAGTGAAGTGAGATTATCGCAGTTTTTCCGGCATCAGGCATGACAGCATTTGATAGAAGCGAAGAGATGCAGAGTTCAGAACCGAAAAGGGGAGAGGAAAACAGGTTTGGGCGGTGCTATCAGAGGTAAAATAGATTAGCAATAGTATTGCACCATATTGCGAATTTTTGCACCATTCACAAGACACTTCGCTGTGTGCTGATGGCTCTGTAGGTTTAAAATTTCTTATATTCCCACATAGTTATCAGATAAGACAGTGAATTGAACAGACAGCGGAAATCCCTATCTCTCCATGGGACTTCTCCTCCAAATGCTAAATTTTTTGTTCTTTATTAATTTTGTGGAAGATGAAAAGTGGAAGGAAAAGTTCCTATTTTATAGGCGGCTGTTTAGAGATTAGCGCTTCTTAATTTTACATATGTAAGCTGGGAAATCTGGAAGCGGAGAGCTCGAATCGTATCGTTTTTTATGTGTATACCCATCCATTCCATGTTAGAGCTTTCGTAAACGTCGCAGAGAAGCTATGATTCCCACAAAGTGATTTGTAATAATAAGTCTATAGTAGACCAAGAATCACCATATTCAGACACAATCATTCAGGTACGAGTCGAAGTAATGCGAAAAAAATATCCAAAAAATGCCTCACTTCAAAGAATTCACCGAACTTTCTTCACTGCCAAGACGACAACGGCTCCTCTTGAACTTACGGAATATCAGACAAACAGAAAGAATTGACTAACGACTGATGCTGATTTCTCGGATACGGGATTATGCTGCCAAGAGGAACCCGGATGTTAGAAAAACCATATAAAACAAACGGAAACTGAAGGAGTTGTAAAATTCAAAATTTACTTCAAGCTTTCCAGTTTCAAGGTTGATTCACTAAATGTTTTGTTTCACTTTTACTCAGCCTTCTTCAAATAACGATAATCAGTATAAAGACAAAACAATAAACATGCAAAGAATATCAAAGTGAAGTCGCCTGAAAAATCAGAATGTCTTGTTCGTAGTCGAGTCCTATTCTCCAAAGTCAAGGTCCCAATCAGGTGGCGGAGAACTTGAGACGGAAGCGGTACTATCTTGCGACCGACTATTTGTCGTTATCTTCTTCTCTCGACTTCGCCCTCGGTTTTCGTCCTCATTCTCCTCATCTTTATCGGAACAAAAATTCAACTCGTACTCGCATCCTTCACTGTAAGGAGTAAACAGCTTAGCATAACCGAAATTATGGACAGCTCCGAGAATGTCATCAGCGTTTCGAATACCCGTATGGTCACCTCCTTGATCGCACCAGTAGACTTCGTTAGATGGGAGATTGAGGCTTTTAATCCATTTTTTGTACTGCTTGAGCAGATCGTCCTTGTTTTTGTAGTTGATTGTGATCGATTCGTTCAGCTTTACAGGAACAACTTGAATAACGACTTCTTTCTCGCTTTCGGCCATGAATAGGGGAGTAGTAGAGATGGAATGAATAGATTAAATCGCTTATATCGAAGTGGCTGGGGGCGGAGAGTATGCAAAGTTGTGTAATTTAACGAAATGTTGCGCAATCAGATAGCCTCCTTCTTATATTTTATCTTTCAATCTTTCCTCTTGTTTTCTCATAAACTGCTTTCCATAATTTTATTAACACATTGATGACAACGCGCACTTTGCTTGTCTGCGTGGTGGGGCAGTGCCTCCTTCTGTACAAACACGCAGATCTTAACCAGCGGTATAGGTATACCTAGATCAATTCCGAAAAGCAGTCGAGAAAGGTGGAAGTAATTGCTACGGTCAAAGAGTAAGAAAACTTCAGAAACGGGCGTATTTCAAATAGGCAGTCATCTTGACAAAATCTAGGCCACGACCCATCATTTGGATCACATTGTCTCACATGGCGTGCGGAGTGGGACATACGTAGAAGTTTTGTGGAA